AGTTTAAAAACTTCTAAAAAATTCTTATCCAAGACTCGAACTTGGATCTGGATATTAGAAGTATCCTGCTTTTCCTTTAAGCTAAAAAGAATACACCTATTATGGGTAGATATAACAGGTATATAATATATATATCTTATGCAACATATAGTAAAGATAATCCCATCATCAGTATGGTAACCAGAATTAAACTAACGAAAGAATTTAGGGTTCTGGAAATTGGAAAAAGGGGATAATGTTATTTAAAAATACGTAATGGTGAGGTTCTACTTGTTCTACATTAAAAATTATTATAAAAGAGTAAATGCCATAACATAACTACTATAATAAATATTCTGCGATAAAATATAATATATGTCATATATATTATATAACCTATTAAAAGAAAATATACTACAAAATTGTCAGGGACATTTTTTTTTACCTGAATCGCTAAAGATACTCGTTTTATCATACAATTCCAATTAGAATTGTTTTTTTCCCAATAATATCGTCCAACATACAATATTTTTAGTATTTATATATATATATAAATATTTTTAGTATTTATATATATAAAGTTATTACTTTTAAGATAAATAATAAATTAACTGTGGTAAAAAAATAAATTAATTTTGATCAAAAAAAAATTTTTTTTACCACATATAATAGCAAGAATGCCATTATAAGTGCAAATAGACCTGTTGCTTCTGCAAAAGCAAACCCTAATATTGCACATGAAAAGAGTTGACCACTAAGACAGGATTTCTATCTGCACCTAGAAATCCCAATAATATCGTCCAACATACAATATTTTTAGTATTTATATATATATATAAATATTTTTAGTATTTATATATATACATAAAGTTATTACTTTTAAGATAAATAATAAATTAACTTTGGTAAAAAAATAAATTAATTTTGGTTAAAAACAAAAATTTTTGTTTTAAACCACATATAATAGCAAGAATGCCATCATAAGTGCAAATAGACCTGTTGCTTCTGCAAATGCAAACCCTAATATTGCATATGAAAAGAGTTGACCTCTAAGACTGGGATTTCTAGCTACACCAAGAATTAATGCTCCGAATACTACACCTATACCTATTCCAGCTCCGATTAATCCTGTGGTAGCAAACCCTGTTCCAATAATTTTTGCTGCCTGGATCACTCCAAAGCTTAATAACGGAATCAATGATGTTAACCAAGTTCACCATTATGATTATATACACTGTGCTTTTACTTCTCTTGCTGTTGTCCGTAGGTGTACTCCAAAAGGGCCCCCTTTTTCCCCTTTTGGAGTACAAAACGAAA